CCCGCATCAGGCTCCCTGCTCCTTGGGAGCCTGCTTCTCCCTCTGCCTTTCTCTCTCGCTCTGTCTCTCATGAATAAAAAAAAAAAAAAAAATCTATTTTAAATTGTCATTTTATTAATATTTCTTCAATTATCGGAGAACTAACAAATCATATTGACAAACTAAGTGCTATGTTGGAAAAAAAAATCTTAAAAGGAGATCGAGACCCAAAGATTTCAATGTGCTTCATCCTCTACCAGCAGAGCTGAGAGATATTGACTTGGGAAGAGTCATCTTTAAACTATGCAATACCATCTGTGTCCCCTCCGTGGGAAGAGAGGCAATATACATGCAACATCCATTAGCAAATTAACTTCCAGAATTAAAACTGAGTCATCGGGTTGGATGACTGACCCTCACAAAGGTAACACCCAAAACAACCAGGTAACAAACAAAATACATGTAAAATAGATCTCTACGAAAATGCACTTTAGTTAAAGAGCAGGGTCTCAGGAGCCAGACAACCCGGGTTTAAACTCAAGTCTTACAGTAAACTCCTTAGCTGTGTGTCCTTGTGAAATTAACTTTTCAGTGCCTCCCTTCCTTCATCTTAAGAAAGGTATAATGAGAGTACCCACCACATATGATTGCTGTGATAATTTAAAAGTTCATGTATGTATGTGATGTGTTTTATACAATGGCATTTCATAAGGGCTCAATAAATGGTAGCTACTAAAATATTAATTAGGGGTAAGAATTATACATGTTCAGAGTTTTTTGTTTTTTCTTTTTTAAATGGAAGAGATCTTATTTCCCTTTACTCCTGAGGTGCTAAATTCATATTTTCACATTAGAACATAGCTCTGTTCTTTCTCAGTAACAGAGTCAGTCTGCAAATTTAATTATTTGAAACTATTTCTGGGGCCTAAAATAAATGAAGTAAAGATTAAACTTAGTGGTTTATAAATTTTAGTATTTAGTCTAGAACAAGAGCCCTAAATGTTAAAAATATTACTATCTTAGGGCCCAACAGGACAGAATGATAAATAATTCTATGTATTTTAAACATAAATAATTAAAACAATGAAAAGTAATTAAATGTAGAATATAAATGGATATCCAGATCTGATTCAACAGGTCTGAGGTGAGGCTAAGAAGTTGGTATTTTTAATGGCTCAGCAGTGATTTGGGTACACAAGTAGAATGAACTGGTGTACTAAATATGTTTAACCTGGAACTTTTTAGGATCCGAGCTTTACCTAACAGATTATTTTCATTTCCATTTAAAAACATAATTTCAGTGCACTCTGGGTACACTGACCATGTATGTCTGCAAGATGCTACTTGTTCTCAATCATTCCTTAAGCCCTCACAAAGAGACACACCTTGCAGCCGTACCTTTTCTGTTTTTGTCTGTCTCTTTCCTTTTTTGAAGAGGAGCCCAAGTGCTGTCCCTTCTCCAGCTCCTCTCCAGCAGCTTTTAGTACCCTTCCTTGCACAGAGGTCGGCAGCCTGGCAATTAGGGGGGCCACCAGCCACACACCCCTGCGTTCAGAGGAGCTAAAATCAGAAATAGGTGTTATACCTACGGAGGTGTCCTTTTCCTCTGCTCTCACAGTTATAACAGAAACTCCAGGGAAAAACTTTCATGAATAAGAAACACCAATTATCCTAAAATTTCCCTTTTAACTCTGTACTATCTTTCCTCTTGCCAAATATCAGAGAGTTGAACACACTTTTCCACTCTTGCTATGGAGAGCAATAAAACATGGGGTTCTGATAGAATAAAAAAAAAAAAAACTTTTTAAATCTACTAAGTGTTCTTCTATGATTTTAGTTCTCTGATTAGCAACAGTCCTTTTGTACAACAAGCAACACATTTTACTGTCATGGTTAAGATATGAAATGTTCTGATGATATTTAAGCATATTAATAACCAATTTATAAGGTTGTAAAATTTACTAGTTATACTTTACACCCAAATGATGAGATACAAATCAATCTGCCTATCATGATTAACCTTTGTGCAACACTGCCAATTAATAAAGATGGCAGAAGAAGTGTTTCCTATATAATGAATTCTATAGAACAGAGTAGCCTTAATTAGACAGTAAAGAAATTAATCCCTTCTGCGTGTCATATGTAGTTCCAAGGAGTCTGGATGTGGTAAACACTGAGACATCTTTCATCATCGTGCCCTTTAACATATTATAAAATAATGATAACTGACACAAATAATTTCACATTCCTGCAGCTTTATGAAAAGTAATGCATCATGCAAATAAAAATATACCATTACATGTGAAAAAGTGAACACAGCCCAAACTGCAGAAAAAAATACCTTAGAAATGTCTTTATTCCATTCTGCCTCGTGCTACTTGTATCAGTATTTCCAATCCCATTTGGGTTGAAGAGGCCCATTCCAGAATTAGAAGAATTATTGTTCAAGTCAGCAGACTGCTGGAATACCTCTATTGTTGCCTTTGCAATATTATCCAGTAAGTTGTTCATTTCAGCCACTGAACCAGAGCCCTGGAGTTACACATAAGAAAACTAGCATGCATATGTTTTACTTCATCTTCCAAAATCAACGTGTTCTTCCTGTTCTTAAAATTTTGTATACATAACACATCCTTCCAATATATATACTCACAGGGTCCTTCAAGCACTGTTTGATCATTAACTGAAGTTCTAGCCAGGACTGCCTTAGTGTCCACTGCTCAAGATTCTGGGGAAAATGGAAAGAATTAACACATCAAGGATACTGAGTGTGTCTTAAAATATAATAATTCCTTGCAGTATTCCCTCTCTCAAGAAAGAATAGAATAATCATACAGAATAAAGGAATTTGTAGGGATCAAAAGGCTTCCAGGTCCATTAAATACATTCATTGTAGACACAAATTAAAAAAAAAACAAACATTAAAATAATGCACATCTGGGACCCCTGGGTGGCTCAGTCAGTTAAGCGTCTGCCTTGGGCTCAGGTCATGATCCTGGAGGCCTGGGATCGGGCTCTGCATTGGGCTCCCTGCTCAGTGGGGAGTCTGCTTCTCCCTCTGCCCCTCCCCTTGCCTGTGTGCTCTCTCTCACTCGCTCACTCTAATAAATAAAATCTTTAAAATAAATAAATAAAATAAAGTAAAATAAAATAATGCACATCACTCAGCCAGGCACTGGAAATAAGATAGGGATTCCTTCTCCCAAAATCTATTCATCTAAGCAATCCCATTCCAAAATAATTTCAATACTTTTTGAATAATATATTTAAGACTATCCCTCCAGAAAGCTTATGTCTCATCTAAATACAGTAGACTTAAAATATCAATGTTTATATTATGATTGTATAGCATTTGCAGTATCTGTATTTACCTAGCAATGAAGTACAGCAATTGCACAGAAAAGAAAGTTGGGAGAATAAGCATCAGAATTGAAGTCAAGAATTAGTTAGCACTGAGCAAAAAAAAAGCAAAAAAAAAAAAGTGTTACATAACAGAAACACAATCTTTAGACTCTTAATCACTCACCTGAAGAATACGCTTAATGTGCTGTCTTTGCAAGTTGTCCCCCTCCGTACATTCTTTAATACCATGAGGATAACAGATAAGCTGTAGTAATTTCTGTGCTTGCATATTTGAAAGCACAGGGTCCAATATAAGCTCTTTGTCTGTGCATAATCTTTCAGGTTCTTTTAAGCAATGTTCTCCTACCCATTCCTTAAAAAAAAAAAAAAACAAAAACAAAAAAATGGCTGTTAGATTGACAGGCAGAGACTTTCTATACATGAATGTAATAGGCACTAAATCATGTTGCACAATGGAATATAAAGCAGACAGAAATCTTCCAATTAAAAAAAAATTACATGAAAAAAAGTAGGGGGGAAAAATTTTGAAAACAAAATTCCTGGTATTTTGACTTCCTAAAAATACAAAGTGGGATCTTGGTTAAAAAACGTACTGCATGGAGCACTGGGTCCTGTACGCAAACAATGAATCATGGAACACTACATCAAAAACTAATGACGTAATGTATGGTGATTAACGTAATAAAAAAAAGTTTGAAAAACAAATATGCAAAAAAAGGAAAGAAAAGAAAGCTAAAGAAACTAAAGAAAATATTGGCGTGTAATGGTAATGATTCTGTATTATTACATGTCTTCATTTTTATGTAACGCATAGTGCATCCACTGAATAGAAAGAAGAGTAAAACATTTAGAAAACTGTCTTCATTTTTTATATTCTAAATGCTATTATTATAAATATTTGTGCATATCTACTTTCTATACAAATATTTTCTTAGAATAATTTCATAAAAGCACAATTTTTGGGTCAAGGAGTATAACAAAATTTAAAACTATTGATACATATAGTCAATTGCCCTCCAGAGAGTTTCTACCAATTTAAACCCCTATCACCTTTTCTTTATCATTGCAAACTCTTATACTATAGAAGAAATCATCAACAGAGTGCAATTTGAACCCAGATCTGTTTCAGAGGTGGCCTAGTTTCTTAACTACACCAGGAGCCCAACGCTGAGTATCTATTAAAGTCACCCAGGGAGCTTGCTAAAATTCCAAAGCCCAGGCCCCATCAAATAAATATCTGATGGTGGGACCCAGACATCAGTAATATTTTTCAGGGATTAAAACTGTTTGACCTTTGGTGCTTCTGGTTGGGAACCAATACACAACTGCCTCTCACTATCTATATGACCATTTCATGAACTTTAACCATAGTTACAATATGCCCTAATAAAAACATGACCCTTTAACATAAGGTCTCCATCAAAATGGAAAATAGTATATATGGTATGCCATGTTTTCTTTTTTTTTTTATAAGAAAAGAGAAATTAGGGGAAAAAAGGAAGATAAATTAAAAAATAATAAAACTGATCACCAAGGGCAGGAAAAAACACAGGACAGAAGAGCCTGATAGAAGAGACAGAGAATACATCTCTTAGTACTCCTTTTTGTGCAGTTGACTTGTAGAAGCATGCTAGTCTAAAGCAGAGCTGATGTGGGGAGGAAGAAAAAGGGAATCTAAACTGAATGCAAACAGAAACAAATGAAATCAATTCTATTTCAAATGAATACCATCCATACTGAAGGAGAAAGTTCAAAAAGATGTTTAACACACAAAAAAACAAATCCTCAACTCCTTTTCATTTTTTCCTAGTGGTATAGGTGTAGCAATTCTGAAAACTATTTCAGGTGTAGTACAGAATTAAGTACATGAGTAAATGATTGATCTTACTGGGAGCCAGGGTTCTTGCTGTGGAAGACAATATTAATATGGAATGGGGGAATGCAAAGAAGAACTAAGTGGAGTTAACAGAAGTGGATGTATCAGTACAAACTCATGAATATACACAGACATTTATGTATATGCATGTATTTTTTCCTACTTCTATCTGCTGAAAGGGCTTAGAGACAAAGAATACCCACTGCCCACAGTAACGAGCACCACAGTGCCCATATCTTGGTTTCTAAATACCATCCTCTACTAACTAGAACCAGAGTTCCTTGGAGGAATGAGTAATTCCAGGTTTGGAACAGGGAAAGCACAAGGTGGGCCAGGAACTAAGAAAGTACTTGGGGCAGCGGGGGCAAGGGATGGAGACATGTCAAAATAATTTAAAAGCCAGGATGAAAAGGTTCCCACTGGACAAATCTGTGACAATTTGAACATGAAAATAACTAAGGATAGTATTTTATAATCCATATGAATAACAAATAAATAAGAATAAGGGAAAAAATTAATAAGGGTAGGCTCTCTTTAGAGTACAATGCAAATCACTAACTATAGAGGAGTTGGGGGGAAAAGCAATCACCATTTTTGTAACCCTCATATAAAGACGAGTTTGGACAAGAATCAAAATGAATGCTATATGGGTGGTGGAGTTTGGTGAAGAGCAAGATATCTGTGTTGTCTCAAAATGTCTCCCAATGACTGTTTACTGATTGCAAGGGGAAAAAATGGTAACTACACAGCAGCGAGATCTTGAAACCATACAATGGAGACACCTTGATCAAAACTATCTGAGGTGCAGATGCACATCATGTGCCTTCAGGTGTGACTACCCTAGAACACAACATTACTTCTGTAGCATCTTGGCCAAGATTGCATCATCTGAAGCTAATCTATGGGAAATTTCAGACAAAACCAACATTATGGGACAACTGACAAAATTGAATATGGCCTGCAGGTGAGAAAAAATTACTGTACCAAGGCTAAATTTCTTGTTTTTTGGTAACTGCATTTGGTTATATTAATAAGTAAACACTAAAGTATTAAAAAGTAAAGATTCATAATGTATGCCATCCACTCTCAAAAGCTTCAGCAAAAAATTAAAAAGTATATGCATCCACATTCACACACAAATAGAATCATAAAGCAATGTGGCAAAATGTAAACAACTGGTGAATCTACATAAAGGGCATATACACTAGAGTTCTTTATTATTATTGCAACTTTTCAACAAATTCAAATTTATTTCCAAATAAAGTTAGCAGGAAGAAAAGGACCCCCAATGTGCAAGTTTCCTACAACAGTGAGCATTTCTCTCATAAGAACAATTATACAGTGAAATTAAAGGCAAATTAAATCTGAAAAATACCTGTTGACAGATAGTCCTCAGTACATATCTAGCATATTCTCTTAAATTGGCAGTTTCTATGGAAATGCTTTTCCCACAGGATTTTGAATTTTGTGAGGCAGTCCAGATATCATCGGCATTCCCATCACGCCGTAAACCCCTCATGGTGAAGTCATCATTCTTTAAAGAGCTGACATTGTTATTGCCAATTTTGGCATCTCCTAAATAATAGAACCACAAAAGCAAAATCACAGAAGTTCAAAATATTGCCAAATCCTTGAGAAGTAAATGAAGCAAGTCTTCAGGGACTTAAAATACGTGAATGGCATCATTATGGCATAGATTGTTGTTCAGCAAGAGAGAGAACAGATCAAGAGAATAATTGCAAGAACCCAGAGAAGTTTCACTGGACATGGAAAAAGAAGCATATTCAAGACTTATTCCTTATTTCGTTTACAGAATTAAGTATGTGTTCACTGAACTTGGAAAGGCCATTATGAATCATACTTAATAATCAGAGAACATTGATTTCACCAATATTTCAAACACAAATGTATTCAATATTCAAATTCATTTCACTTATAGACAAGGAAAAAATGGGTTACTCACCCTTCTAGATGTCCCTTTTCCATTTCTTCTCTTACAATGACTTATTTTCTATCCATAGGTCAAGAGAAAAGTTTTGCCTTAGCCCACCTTACTATCAACTTCTTGACAAGAGAGATTTATTTCCCTGGGAATGGAAAAGGGCAATGCATACTAAGGAAGCCCTAAAACATAGGGCACTCATTGAATAACCCAAGTCTCTCACTTTCCTCTCTGTAAACATCCAAATTAGAAAACCTCACCAGATCAACCTCTAATATACTGAGTCAAATGAAACTAAGGAAAGGGTTTCCCTCATAATCAAGTTCTTGGGGACAAAATGGAGCAGAATGTCTGAACAGTTGGAAATAAGAAATCCTCTCTAGCTGTGAAAGACAAATCACTATCATATTTTAAAGTGAGAGAATTGATAATAAAGACTACCAAATGACAACAGAGCCTCTAAACTTTTGCCTGTTTACCCACAGGTTTATAAGCCTTGAACAAGAAAATTTCTTGGAACCAACAAATGAGTTTAAATGAGGCCCCTCACTACCCACTATGAGTAAAACTAAGCCCATATCAGTGAAAAAAGCCTTTTAAAACCCACAGGTCAACCAAGAAAAGGTTTTGAAAAATTTGAAAAATCAGAATGGCTTAGTGAATATTTATTTATAAAATTATAAGAGGAGGGGAGGAATAAACAATGCTTTTCAAATCATCAATATCTTATAATATCATAAATTCCTCATTAAAACACACAATAGAAAAAGTGCCAATTTCACTTCACTCACAAGAGTTCATTTAATTCAACAGAGCTCCTTGGGAGCTGAAAGATATGTACCAAAATTTAGCATACTTTCTCCCACCTCTGGGGATATAAAGAACTATTTCTACACCTTAAGGTAAAACTACTACATAAATTAAAAACCAATTTCTAAAGAACAGTTTTAGCTCCCAAACTCAAAACAGATCCTGGTGGACAGGACTTGAGAGAACATTGGTAAGGACAGGGTAAGGTAGAGAAATTAAAACTTCCGTAAAAACAAAATCAGAGAAACAAACACCTCTGCCTAGGAAATCCTCAGATTCTCATTTAGTTTAGATGTTAGGATGACAGAGAAGGTACAGGAGACTGTGCCAGAACCTTCTGTAACTGTAGAAAAGAGTGTTCAGTGACTACCCAGTCCAAAGCTCTGCTGACATCCAAATGACCCAATCCTGACTTCTCAGACTTGAAGCATTCTCTATCTACCAAGAACGGACGTGAATTACAAAGATCGAGGAAAGCCAACCAAAGATAAATGAACTGGTTATTACACCTGGATATTAAAATACAATTATGTGACTCTTTAAAGAGGCTGGCAAATTTTAGTTGGAACTGGAACAGTCCTCCAAATGAAGGGGTAAGTGTCTAGATGGCACTCATCTTGCTTTTTGCCATTAAATGTCTATCCCCTTCTGTAGTCACAATTCAAACATTAGTTTGTGGAATAGCTACTATTTCAAAACCTACTTTCTAGTTTTTCTGATGGGCATTAGAGATACCACAGTTTAAAAAAAAAAAAAAGCAAGTCTCTGACTTCATGATCTCTACATTTATTTAAGTAGATTGAACAGCCATTTTCTTTTCAAACATCATCAGAGAAGAGAAATTTTATTTACTGAAATGAGCATTTAATGTTGGTGGTATAATAATACAAGCTCCTAAGCTCAGAAGAGAGGCTATGACCATCCACATGGCTCTACCTTTCCCTTTTACTATAAACTCATGGGCATTTCCAAGGGCATCCCTTTGATATAATATATAAATGTATACATATGTTTCCTCCAACCTTTAATCTTAAACTACTGCAAAAATTAGAAACCACATGTAAATATATGTATGTGTGTGTGTATATATTCTTTTCTTAAGGTGAACTTTTAATAATTTTTTTAGTGAAAATCCTGTTATCCTTTATTGTCACCAAATAACATTCAAACAGGTATATAAAGTATAATGTTCTTTAAGACTCCTCTAAAACATTTCCTATCTACTCAATAGTTTCTATTCTAATCAAAGAGAGCTCCTTCAGAACATGAGAGAACTTTTATTTAGTCAAGGCCAAAAGAGGGTTCCCACAGTTGGAATTAGGCAGTATGGACTCAAGACCTCCTACTCATTCAAATCCTGACCAATTTATAGAAGCAAAATGTCTTAAAGCATTACACTATCAATGAATAGAAAATGCAGTACTACTACTCCAGGAGTACATATGCCAATAGGAGTATAAAGGACATCTTGGACATTATGGATTAAATTTTTAAAAATTCTGATATCTAATATTGATTTATCAATAATATCAACATCATTGCAATTATTACCTGATTCATGAAAACCCCAAGGCAGAAGTTTATATACTTGTTAAGGGTCACAACTGAAGTAGAAACACTAAGGTTAAAACCCAGGTTTTCTGATGTCCTGCTCCTAATATATGACATGAAATTTAAACCTTTGGTTAGATCACCATGTCATCTGTGTCCATCACAAAGGGTGATTTATGCCAACAAATAAAAACAAAACCACCCTGTGGGTCTGAGAATCTGTGTTATATCAAAATGAAATATCCTGTAGTTAAAATGCCATAAAAAAAACCCCAAAAAAACAAAAAAAAAAACCAACAAAAACAAAAACCTATTATATTTAAATTCCCCCAGAATTTGTAGGTAAGGAGCAGACATCTCAAGTCCAACTGATCTTGGACTTGGAGAAAGCCAACTAATTTTGCCAGGAAAACCAAACCAAACCAAACCATGTTTCTAGTAATATGAATTAGAGTTGAACCTAAATACAAATTATTTTTCCTCTGTTTCTGGTGAATAACCAAGTTTAGTGCCAGGATAATCTTACCAAGCATCATAATTGCTTTTAAGACAGCAAACACGGCTCCCACTTCAATGCTGTTGTGAGCAGCGGCTAAGAGGTGTCTATCACAAGATGATCTTATTCCAGGGAAAGGTTTGCCTATGAGAACAACAGCAAATGGTCTCATTACCACCATTAACAATCTCTTCTAACCGTTTACAATCAGCAGAGCCTTTCACTGTTAGACTGTGGGTCCTTAACTGCCATCAGTTAGCTTTAATCGATGCTTCATGGATTCACTAAGAAACACCGTCAGTATTCCTTTCTTAACCTTTTCTTTTTAATTATTAAAATAATGTCTTTGCTCCTTAAAGAGATGTACCAAAAAAACAGGAACTTTCATCTACATATGCTGATTGTCTCACACACACACACACACACACACACACACACACCCTTGTATGGAAATGATTTTTAGAAACACACTTCAGTCACACCCCAAGAATTCTTACCTTATTCCTTTTACCTTAGTAAAAGAATAAATGAATCATCATTGCCCTAAACTGCTATGATATGGCTCATAACAAACATACATAGTATGTGAGAGGATCAAGCCGCCCACCAGCAGGGCTTGGCCTAAGAGCAAAAGTATTTCCATGGTTTATTAACTCCTGATTTGAGTTTCTCAATCCATCCTGATATTGCATAAATAAAAGGTGCTGAGAGCGCTCTCAAGGGCATTACTACACTCGCTCCTCACCTGCACAGCAAGCTCACCAGTATCAGGAAGGAAATGACAGAACGGACAGCCTACTTGGTCATTTTAGCATCTATACCTCCAGACGAAAATGTCACCAGGGGTTTTTCAGCTTTCAGCTCACCGGTTGCTTGAGGTAATAAGCAGGCCTGGGGAGCTCGGAAGAGATGAAGCAGAAGTCGGCATGTCATCCTCGCCCCCGGCTCAGCATCTGCATCTCCACAAGCTAGGAAAGATTTTAAAAGCACGTTTGCTAATTTATTCAAGGACATGTCTTCAGGTTTTCTATTAAGCTAACTTTTCTGGAATAATTTAAATACAAATGCTCCTTACAGTAAGAAGTAAGGCACTAAGCTATGCTTTTTCAGGAAACCAGAGGGCTTCCTTAAAAACAACCTTTTCCATAGGGATCCATTTGATTTTGTGTAGAACATCACTGACAATTCTACAATCTTTACCTCAACACCACACCACGGCCCAACGCGGGGACGCTTTAATAGTATGTTTACTGTGTTGTAATAGCTAGAAACCACCCCAAGACAGCCATCAAGCAACAAGGGCCACTCTGGACGTGCCGTACCTGCTGCGAGGAGCGAGGGAAGTGCAACGTGCTGCACGACGTCCTCCAGGGAGAAACACTGTCGTGCTATCAGAATAGCAATGAAAGTAGCTAATGAATCATGGAATGAAAGGTCACTCACCTTCAAGAAAAACATTGACATGTTTTAATACCTAACACCCTTTCAGGTAATATCTAAGCTTAATATCTAAGAGAATGTAGGCAACACCAGTAAGATCTCAAATCCCAAAATGACCCAATAGAGTGAAATGGTAACACGTCAGACTTATTATCTTCTAAGGACTATTTCTACTTTATAAGACAAAAAATGAGGTTTACCTACATCCCAATGCTATCAGGAGATACTGAGTTTTACCTAGAGTCCATGTTATTGAACAAAACAAAAACAAAATCAAGAAATTCCTAAAAGATGTAGCATAAATAAAACTTTTTGACAGAATACAACATCATCTGTTATTTAAGGGTAAGATCATTAGGGAGCAAAGGAAAAATAAGGAAGTTCTAAGCCTTATTAATGTTTTAGAGTTCTTTTCAGGGATAAATATGAATGATCCTATAACATAATTAGTTTTAAAAACAACTCTGAAAATTTCCAACTGACTCCTAAACTTGAAAGAGAGTGAAAGAGAGAAAGGAGAGAGAGATTGTGAAAAAAAGAAGAGAAGGAAAATCAATTCATTCAGGATAAAACCTCTACCTCACAGACCAAACAAGACTTTGGAAGAGAACAATAACAAAAACCATCATAACAGCAGACTTCATATTAAGTTGTATTATATGTCAATAACTATGGTTAGTGATTTACAAAAATCACCTCATTTAATAGCATACCACCATGAGGCTCATACTATTATTAATCCTGATTTTGCAGATGAAGGAAAAAAGTGGAGATAAAGTATAACAGAAAACAACCAAGAGGTTAAGGAATTATGTTAAAGATAAAAATTGGGATTTCTTCTGTCTGGAAAAGCGGGTAACAGATATTAGTTACCTGAGATACCAGAACTAGAAAGTAAACCTCTAACTGGAAGGCGGAAGGAGGTTTGTAAAAATATATAAATGTCTTCTACACAGAAGACACACCAACATATAACATGATCACTCCAAGAAGTGATAGGAAAAACAGAGACTCATGACAGATTTTTTAAAAACTTTATACATCATGGATGCTACAGGACATGCGAAGGAAATCGGTGATATATACCAGGTATCTCTTCATCAACTTCCAGACACAATCACTAAGAAAGACTGAACATGTCAATGAATCTGGGCCTGGACATTCTTAAGCAACACAGTGAAAGCTATGTTCCTAGAAGGCGCCTTGAGCCTTACAAAACAAAGTGGTTCTCTTCAAAATGTAAATGTAAACTGCTTTAGGCAAATTATGTCTTGTACCATGAGGAGTCCAAGGCACTTGGGTAAACAATATGAACCGACAGCTCTGAAGAGAACATATTATATAAAAAATCTCAGCTAAAAAGAGGGAAACTCTTGGCATCTCTGCTGTAGATTAAGCTATTGTATTTATTCCAATTTTTTTTTTCATTTATGTAATCCTTGACAACCGCATTCTCCTTTATTGCTTTTGGGCAGAGAAAGAAAAATATTTTATATTTCAGGTAAGGGTTAAGTCAATTAAAAAGAATTACTAACTAAATATTTCATTGCACAGATGAGTTTTTAAGCAAAAAAGAAAACTTACATCTACAGTGCAAAGTACATCATTAAACCCCCACACATGATTTGAAGAACAACAAAGAGCCTTCAGAACTCCCAGCCATTCTGAACTAAGAACAGTGCAGCAAGCTGTCAGCTCCGAGGAGAAATTGGCAATGTCGTTAATCCTGGGAAGAGGAAAAAGAACATAGTAGAAAGTAACAGGAGAGAAACAGGCACATGTAATATACTTAATGAGCACATACCTCACTACCATCAAACAAGTCATTCATTTCGAAAATACAAAGATTTATTAAATACCCACTTGTTAAATAACCTAGTAGAACCTGGAACCAAAGATAAAAGTAAGTGGCTTCAAATATTTAATGTTGCTGAGAAAAATCAGTACAGATGCCAATTAACGTATTTTTGTTCTGAGAACAAACCTTACAAACTTACATTTTTAGGGGCATCAAAAAAATTAAAGACACTGTGTAATTTAGGTAGGTCAAAAAACAGTGTTTTAAAATAGGGTTTTGTTTTTTTTTAGATTTTATTTATTTATTTAGAAAGAAAGAGTGAGCAGAAGCAGGGGGAGGGGCAGAGAGAGAGGGAGGGAGAGATTCTTAAGCAGGCTCAACGCTGAGGACGGACCCGATGCAGGGCTCGATCCCACAACCCTGAGATCATGACCTGAGCTGAAATCAAGTCAGAGGCCAAGCCCACTGAGCCACCCAGGTGCCTCTGATATAGGTCATTTTCATTTGGGTTTTTATTATTTTTTTTTTAAGTGGACAGACAACCTATAGTTTATATCTAAAGCATCTCATGCCAGAGCATTCAGCCAGGATAGCCTGTCAGGCTAAGGAAATCACTGTATAAAGCAGAGATCAAATCAGGAATAAATGAGGGGAACAAAAAGCAAACATCCAAACGTCAGCCCAGGCAATTACTAATGACATTAGTTTAAAAGTAACACCAAGGCAATGACTAGGTCGTTCGAAGTGAATTCCAGGGTAACCCAGCTCACCTTCCAGCATCCTGGTGGCCCATACATACATTCATGAGCGTATTACAGACGAAGCTGTAGCGATTGGCCGCATTGTCACTAAGGATCTTGCCCAGCATTGAGTAATTGATGCTACGAGCTGAAGGATTCTCAATAAAATCCATCATGAAGTCTGGATCCCATCGCAAGTTAGAATTTGCAGGCATCACATTATTATATATGGTTTGCTTAACTTTTGAACAGGCACTACTGAGGTTACAAGGAGAAAAGTTAAAAAAAAAAAAAAAAAACAACAACAAAACTAGAATAACTAGAAGGCTATTTCCTTTAAGGACAGGTTCAATGGCAGCAACTCTATGGAAATACATAACTCTAATGTATTCCTAAAGAAGAGTCCCAATAGGAGGTTTTCATTCCAACTTCGTAACAGTCTAGGAAATACTGGTCTGGCAGACAGGACTAAAGAAACCCACTAAATGACAGTAACTACAGCCTTCTCCGTTCTTTCTCGGCAGACACCTTATATAAAAAGGTGTCGGCTGTCCCTGAAGGGTGCAAGCGTGCAATCTGGATGACCAGTTCAAAAGGATGAACATTTCACAGCCCCCAGGGCTTTTAAACGTCTCCCGTTTTCCTGCCTTAACCCTTGTCAACCTTTCTACTCAACTTTTCATTCATTCTCACTTAGTAATAGTTCTTAATGTGTTTCACTTTCTCAGTAAAAAATGAAACAACCAGCTTTGTTCTTTTGCTGGTTCCCTCCACCTCTCTATACACTGAGTGTCATTTTATTGAAACGGACTTTGGCAAATAGCAAAGCATTACCTCTTTTCCTACTTAATTCTACCAATCTATTCATGTCTGTCTTAGAAACCAAAAGAATTCTGCTTTCCTCTCTTTAATTTTTTTAAGAGTCAGCGCCCACCTTTCTTTCAGTCTAGAGACTTCTCTTGAGTTGACTCTCGGCTACCTCCAGCCTGCATTGCATAATTTTTCTGAAATCTGTGCCTCGTGGTGAAGTCTCCTTACTCTTCATTTCTAGGCTTCCTATTTCATTTATTACACTCTTTCCAGACGAACCCTTCCATGCTTTAATAAAACATTGGCTGCTTTCTAGGTCACTCTCAAAGTCTGATCACTCTCTGCTGCAGACATATATAGAATTAAGGAAACAACTGAGACATTTTGTGTCTGAAATTGCCTGTACCTGAAAAAACCTGACGGAGTAATAAAAGCAACACATGCTTTTAGGCCAAAATGACTTATGTGCAAATCTAGGCTTCACCATTTATTAGATTATGATGAGGAACAATCACTTCTTGCTAGGAACAGTCATTTCTACTTCCTAAGGTTGTGGGGAGGATTAAAGATCTTGATGGAAAGAACCCAGCACAGTGCCTGGCACACAGCTGCTGCCCAATCAGTGCAAGATGTATTTCCCCCCAACAGTCCTCTCACACAGCTTTAGAGAGGCTCTTTCAGATCTAGTTATTAGAACTGTCTTATTAGCATAATAATAGAAATCTCTCTGAGTCGCTAGCTTTTGTTTGTTTTTGTTTTTTTTTTTTAAAGATTTTTTATTTATTTATTTGACAGAGACACAGCGAGAGAGGGAACACAAGCAGGGGGAGTGGGAGAGGGAGAAGCAGGCT